GAACAACCAACCTTGCAGTTCAAACCTTCCTTGCAGTCCAGAGTATTAACCTACTGCACCATATGAGGAAGAATATTTATGGTATGGATTGTTAAGCGCCCTCAAGTCCTTTACAACCCACAGTGATCCTGTAGAGGATTTCTGAGGAGCAGCTGGTGAGCTTGAACTGCCATCCTTACAGTTCAAAAGGCTTTTCAGTCTGCGCATCAACCCACAGCAACACAACAGAACTCTGTGGTATGTACAGGGGTAAAGAATGTGGTAAGAGACACTTAGTTTCTACAAATATTAGCAGTTCCCTAACACACACATTTCTATGAATATAGAAAATTACAATGTTTATGACTTTTCCAATCCCTCTTTTAAATTCACACTAAATGAAAGCGAAGTAGATATTATCATCTTAATACCATACTTCCGACACATTGTTAGGAGGCACGAGTTGTTGGAGTAGATTATCATGTTTGGTAATGTGGTGAGTCAGAGAAAAAGAGGAAGACACGCAGCGAGATGGATTAGCAAATGGGCTCAAACATGGCAACAGTAGTGAGGTTGACCCAGGACCCGGCAGTGTTTTGCCATGCATAGGGTCGCTAGGAGTCGGTACCGACTCGATGGCACCTAACAACAAAAACAAAAATCATGCTTTTTCTAAATATGTTTTAGTTTTATGGCATAAAATCTTTTTAAGACCTGTTTTTACGTCAGAGTTTCTCAAGCTATAGATAATGGGGTTTAACATTGGGGTAATGACCACATTCAACATTGAGATGAACCGGTTTCTAGCTTGGGAGTGGTGACTGGAGCGACGGACATAAGTAAACAGCATAATGCCATAGAACAAACCAACTACAAGGAGGTGAGAAGCACAAGTGGAAAAGGCTTTGCGCTTCTCTTCCACTGACCGGATCTTTAGGATGGTGGATATTATGTATACATAAGAGATACCAGTAATAAGGAAGGTGCTGATCCCTAAGATGCCTCCTACTACTAAAATAAGCATTTCTGCCACATACGTGGAAGAACAAGACAGGGCCACTAGTGGGGGGATGTCACAATAATACTGGTTGACTCGATTAGATTTACAGAATGAGAGGCGGAATGTAAACATGGTGTGCAGAAGGGAGTGCAAAAACCCCAATGCCCAGGTACCAGC